AAAAGCAGAAGAGTTGATTGGCTCATGCTGAAAAGAAAGCTGTTGGCTAAGGGGACAACCCCACTGAGAGACCACCTGTCCTTTGAGTAGAGGTCAGTACCACCATTCCTTGGTGGGGAACAGGAAGCCTCAGCCGGCAGTGATCACCCATGATGTAGACCCCATTGAGTTGGTGGTCTCCTGTGTTGCAAGATGGTTTCCCCTACTGGATCATCAAGGAGGAAGCCAGACTGGGGCACTGGTCACAGGAAGACATGCACCATCATTGCCTTCACACAAGTTAACTCTGAAGGCAAAGTAACTCTGGCTATGCTAGTGGAAGCTATCAGGACTGATTACAATGACACATCTAATAAGATCAGCTGAGAGGCAACATCCTAGGTCCAGGAATCTGTCTTTCCATTGCCAAGCTGGAAAAGACATAGGCCAAAGAACTCTCCACCAAACCATGTTAAATGTACACTGCTGAGTTTTCTGTTGAACATAAATATAACAAAAGATTGCTGAGTAGGGGGAGAAGAGGAGGGAGAGAGGGAGAGAGAGAGAGACACAGAGAGAGAGAGAGAGAGAGTGAGAAAGAGAGACAGAGAGAGATTGACTGACTGACTGATTTTGAGGTACTGGAGAGATGGCCTGACAGTTAAGAGCACTCTTGCAGAGGACCTGGCTTTGGCTCCTAGCACCTACATGGCAGCTCACAGCAGTCTATAACTTTAGTTCCAGGAAATCTGATGAGCTCCTCCATGCACATCACACAAGCACACACACACACACACACACACACACATACATACATTTTTTTTATTTTGAAAGAGAGATTTGAGGTATGGTTTTTCACTCTGGTGGCTCTCTGTAATCTCTTAATTTCCAGGCTTCTCAAGAGCCAGTTTCTCATTACTGGTAAATATACCTTAGCCTGTAAATGGTAAAGGATGTAAAGGATGCTGGGTTATATAGGGACTTTGTAAGTATCAGAATCTCCTGGCTTGAATGCAAAAACACAATTGCTAGCTGACTCCCGAGATTTTCTATTTGGGTACAGTAGGATGGGCCCAGGACCGTCCCTCTGAGTTACCAGGTCATGCTGTGATTGCTACTCTTCCAAAAAGACACTGGGCTGGGAGGAGAGAGTGGAGCCTGCCAGTTCCACATTCGTTTTTACTCATTGCTGATGGGTCACCAGGGTGTCCACAGCATTTGAAGACCAGGATCCAAAGAAGCAGTCACATTCATATGCATCACTGCCTACATGGGCTCTGTACTGGTCCCTGTGAGGCCCCACTGCAGATCCACACTTTGCAATGGATGCCTCTGTTTTCTAATGCAGGGAATACCACCTCAGCTTCTCTTAGGATTGGCCTGCCCCCCCCCCCTTTTCCTTTTGATGTTTCCAGTCAGTTCCCATTACAGCCGGAGTCCTCTTTCACAAATGTGATTACAACTTCCCTTGTGGTCACCTCCATTTTATTTCCAAGGCTCCATCTTAAAGGCCTGAGACATTTCCCATCTCTGAATGTCTCTTCACACTAGCTAATTCCTTTCTTCAGTCGTATCTCACACCTAATTTCTGTTGTGTGGTTAGTTCCTACTGCTCCCCAGGCTGTGAGCTCCTGAAAGATGACACTGGCCTATCTTGTCCCCCATTGGGGCTTGAGTCCCCACAGTTGTGCCTTGTTATTCAGAAGCAGGTGCCACATGGAAGACTGTCTTCTCATTCTCCACAAATTACATGTTTTTATATTTGTTATGACTTAATCCAAAATTCCCCACAGGCTCCTATTTCCAACAGTTGGTCCTTGGATAGTGGTGCTGTGGTAAAGGCTGTGGCTGCGTTAGGAAGTAGGGTCTGCCTGGAGCAGTGGGTCACTCATAGTGAGCCTTACCTGCTTCGGATTACAGCCCGTGTCTACAGTTTGTGGGTGGCAATGTGAGTAGCTGTGGCTCCTGCTGCCATCACTGTGGTGCAGTGACTCCTCTGAAACTGAGCTAAAATCACTCTTGTTCTTCTGGCTGCCCTGCCACGTAGCTCATGTGATATTGGACTTTTGTGTGTGAGCAGAGGAAGCACCAAGTAAAACCTCACTGTCTGTGCCAGTGGCTCTCAGCTGTGCTGCATTTGAGATTTACTTGGATGGGGGGAAAGGAAGAGGATCTTGGCATGTGCTCATTGCTGCCTGCTTGCAATTCCAGAAGCATTCTTCCAACAGCACTCAGAACACATGTGCCTGCCCCTCCTTCATGAAAGCCTCTTGAGAACCCTTCCTCAGTGCTCTGGTTTTTCCATTTGACCTTCAGTGATTTTGTGGTAAAATCTTTACATTTCTTTTGCAGAGCTGGGATTTAAACCCAGGGGCTTCTGCATGCTAAGCATCTGTCTGCCAGAAAGCTAAATACCACCCCTAGTCTTTGCATTCTTAAATTTCTGTTTGCTTGCATGATCTTTTTTCTTTCTTGAGACAGGATCTCTCTATATAGCCCTGGCTGTCTTGGAACTTGCTCTGTAGACCAGGCTGGCCTCGAACTCACAGAGATATACCTTACTCTGCCTCCCGAGTGCTGAGATTAAAGGCGTGTGCCACTGCACTTGATGCATAATCTCTTTACTGCAGGTTCTTCCAAGGCAGTAGTTGGCCACCATTTATATGGATCTCCATATAAGCTGACAGGGTACCCATGATTATAGACATCAGTACATGGGAGCGATCAGAAACTTCTGGGACAAGAAATGAAAAAAATAATAGTTGACTTGTTTTGATTTTCTTTGGTAGTTGGGGATCAGACATAGGCCCTCATAGATGCTAGGTCAGAACTCTCACACACGGAGTGCCCCCAGGACACTGTCTTTTGTTGGACAGATGCTTAAAATTTTCAACTCAGTATCTAAAGCTATCTCTTGGACTTGAGTCCCTGAACAAATGAGGGCCATGAGTGAATAATGTCACTACTTGTTCAGTCAGGGAGTCCCTCATTCATCACTTCAGTGACTATGATTCTGGGTATATTTCACAAATCTCCAATTTTTTAATGTTAAACTTTTATATATCCAGACATCATTTTTGTAAAGAAATCTGTACTGTCCTGAACAGCAGGTGAACACTTCAGTCCTCACTCTGGTTGGTGCTCTGGTGGGACTGGTCACAGTCTTTATACATTCTACCCCTGTGTTCTAAAATATTATAATGTCTGGGTGGGGAAAGTGCAGGTTACTTACTTTTTTTATTTTTTAAAAAAATTTGCAACATTTGGCTTTTATAGTAAAAAAAAATCTCTGAATACTTTAACATTTGAAATAAATATAATGGTAGAAATTCATTATTTCGCTGGGCGTTGGTGGCACACGCCTTTAATCCCAGCACTCGGGAGGCAGAGCCAGGCGGATCTCTGTGAGTTCGAGGCCAGCCTGGACTACAGAATGAGTTCCAGGACAGGCGCAAAGCTACACAGAGAAACCCTGTCTCGAAAAACCAAAAAAAAAGAAAAAAGGAATTCATTATTTCCTTTATATCAGAGGTTAATAAGCCTTTTGTTTCTGGTGTCTCGTCGTAAACGTGGTAGGCTTTGTGGGCCCTGTGACTTTCTGTTACTTGTAACCTGTCATCAAACTGGAAGAAATCCCAGATAGTGTGTGCACAAGTGAGCCCAGCACCTTTCCAGTGAAACTTGACCAACTTTGAATTGACATTGGGACTTTATAGTCACTTGTGCTAGGAAAGAGCCGTTTCTTTTTATCTCCTTTCAACCATTTAAACAAAACTTATTAGTTCTGAGGCAGACCATCATAAAGATTGGGAATCGTTTCCATCAGATTCTCAGACATCCTTTGTGACCTTGGAGTGTGATCGCTTAAGTACCAGTCTCTTAGATGACAATTACATTTCTTTCTCTCAAAGAAAATGTTGTTCTTCCTAAAATAACAACCAAAAAAATGCTTTTGGTAAAGTGTTTCATTTACCAAAAGCATTTTTTTGGTTGTTATTTTAAACACTTTAGCCTTTTCAGGACTGCAGGTGACTTGCTGCACTGTTTTGCTCCTGACGGTGGGAAATTCACTACTGGGAAGAGTGAACGACAGTGTTTGAAACAAAGGAGGAACAAGAATTTCCTTTGAGTCACTGGCTTCTGATACCATTTGGTTAGCCGCTTTTTTTCATGGTGGTCGTGTGAGACATCCCACCCTAGTTGCCTGGGCTTTTGGCATGGGCTTTCAATCAGTGTCCAGCAGAGAGCCCCAGCTGCCCGGAGAGGTGCTGCCATCGTCGTTCTTAGACCAGCACCTTCATGTTTGTGTAGGGTTGCCACTGTTTGTCACCAGTATTCATGGCAGCGTGTCCTTGTCAAGTTAACAAGTAAAGACCTCTCTCTCTCTCTCTCTCTCTCTCTCTCTCTCTCTCTCTTGTGCATGCAATTGTTTCTATGTACCTGCATAATAAAGAAATGGAACACTAAAAATTACCTTTTAGGAACGTTTGTTTGGTGGTTTGTGGCCATAGATGCCATGCTGTCGGTTGTTCAGATGCACAGTCACCGGCACATACACCTCTCGGATCAGCAGGTTTGTGTGTATCCCAGAAAATGCATCACGAAGTCTCTGCAACTGATTCTTTTGTACATAAAAGTTTGAAAACCACCCATTTGGAGGAGTCAGAGCCGGCTGAAGGGGTGGACAGACAGCATTTCCTCACATGCCATCCTGTTACTAGATCCTTGAATGGAAGGTTGTCTTTTCTGAAAAGCATTCCTAACTGTAGGGTGCACAGCATGAATATACGTGAAAGCCCCATTTTCCCTACAAACCTAGTTATTGAAAAGGATAGGTCAGTGGGGCATGTGCTCCCCTGTGGGTTTGTTTTCTTGAAACCAGGAAGCTGTACTCACTTTTGCCCTCTGGTTCTCCTAAGCCTTAATGCCCCAAGTAAATCCAATAGAGGAGAGGTGAATCATTCCTCATTGTACTTCCAAAAGTCTATTGTGATCATGCTATATGAATTTCTTTTTTTAAGGGGGAACACCTAGTTTGGAAGTTTTGTGGTTGAGTCAAGAGCCAGCAGCACAGGCCCGGCGCCTGGACACATTGCTGGCCTGCTTCAACCTCTCCTCCTCAAGAGAAGAGCTACAGGCCGTTGAGAGTCCGTTGAGAGCACTGTGCTGCCTCCTAATCTACCTCTTTGTCCAGGTAAACGCTGTGCTCACAGTTCTTACATATAATAAACATACAAAGATGCTGTAACTGCCACACGTTCCTGGTCTCATCTTCCTGAGTGCTGTGTTTCCGTGGGCCAGTTCCCATGACCTCTTTCCACAGAACACAATTAGTTCTTCAATATGCTCCTAGAGATGTTAAGTCAGGACTTCTCACAACAAAGAGTTCATGTATCAACAAGTCAGTGGTGGTGTCTATTTGTTCATAGGATTGACTGTCTTCTCAGAATACTGTGGTAAACCTAGAAGGATAAATTATAAAATATCATGGTCTTATGTAGGTGAGCTTAGGTTAGGTTTTCATTGTATGTGTATGAGTGTTTTGCTCCACCCATTCCATGTATGCATGTGTACCACCTGTGTGCCTGGTGCCCATGGAGGTCAGAAGTGCCCATTGTATTCCCTGGAACTGGAGATACGGGTAGTTGTGAACAACCATGTGGATGCTGGGAGCAGAACCCTGGTCCTTTGCAAAGCAAGAAGTGCCCTTAACTACTGAGCCAGTTCTCCTAAATTAGCACTTTTGCTGTGCAACATGAAGTAAAATTACATATCATTCATTGTATGAAAACTGAATTGAAACTAGTTTGATTTGGTCTAACACACTTAATAAGACTTAAGTCTGATTTGAAGGAATCTTGGAAATGCATTTATAGCTTTGGTTCTTACTACACTAAAATTCCTGGCCAAAGTGACTTAAGGAAAGAGGAGTTGTTTTGACTCACAGTTTAGGGGGACCATCTATCCTGATGGAGATCACGGTGGCAGGAGCACAAGGCAGTCGGTCCTGTTCGTGCAGCATAATGATAAATGCTGGTGCCCAGCTTTCCCTTTTTCATTCAGCCTGGGATCTCCACCCACAACTGGGGATCTTCCCATTCAGTTAACCAGTCTAAAAACTCCCTCACAGGCATGCCAGAGGCTTGTTTTCACAGTGAATTCTAAACCCCATCAAATTAACAATCATGCTTAGTTACCTGTGAAAAAAGACACATAGCTGTCCACTAGGCTGGTGTTTTAAGAACAGCCTCCAAACATGACTAATTGTGGGTAGAATTAAATACTAAGTCTTCAGTCTAAGCAGAAATGGCAATTTACAGATTTTAAAATCTGTATTTGTGCTTGGCTTTGTCACAGATCCTACATTTGCAGATTTTGTTTCACTCATATAATGGTGATGCCTCTTTTGGAATAAACATGGAAGAGGGTGGTGACAGGTCAGCATTTCCAGATCTGTTACCTGTGCCTTCACTTGAGTGGTAGCACGTGCCTGGGTCAAGTGCTGTACAGTGTCTTTCCAAGAGTTTCAAGGTTAGGGTGTCAGAAAGCCAGTGCTCTTTCTGGTTGTGGGGACCATTTTATCTGAAGGAGATACACAAGCATTTTCTTTCCCAGGTGCTCTTGGTTAAATTTCTGTGATGGAATTGTCATTGTTCTGTTTCTTTCCCCATAGTTTTTGCTGCCACAGTTACTCCTTCCTCTGAAAAAGAGCTCTGTGTAAGAGTAGAGTTACTTCATAAGTAGTTAACATGTTGATTCTACTTGATGACAAATGTCGATATTGTGCTGGCTACTTTTATGTCAATTTGACACAAGCTAGAGTCTCTTTGGAAGAGGAAATCTCGATTGAGAAAATGCCCCCACCAAATTGGCCTGTGGGCAAGCCTATGGAGCCTTTTCTTGATTGATGATTGTGGCAGGGTCCAGCTCACCGTTGGTGATGCCTTCCCTGGGTTGACTGTCTTGTGTGCTTTATGAAAGCAGGTAGAGCAAGCCATGGAAACAGGCTAGTAAGCAAGCAGCTCCCGTCATGGCTTCTGCTTCAGTTCCTGCTGCCAGGTGCTCTGACTTCCTTTGATGATGCACTATGATTTGGAAGTTTAAGCAAAATACACCCCCTCCAAGCTGCTCTGGTCATGCTGTTTCATTACAGCCCTAGAGAGCTGAGAGAGAAAAGGTTTATTTTGGTACAATTTGAGGAGGTACAGTTCATTGTGGTGGGGAAGGCACATTGCTTTCACAGTCAGGAAGCAAAGAAAAACAAATGCTGAGACTCAGCTCATTGTTTTATCGGTCCAGGACCTCCACCCATGGGATGGTGCCACCCACATTCAGCATGGGTCTTTCTCCAAGTGAAGCCTTCCTAGAAGCACCCTCATAGACACACCTAGAGTGTGTTTCCATGGTGATACAAAGTTCAGTAGTGTTGGCTTGAAGATTTACTATCACAGTGGCTCGGTGCAGACAGTGTCAGCCTCAGGAGTATGTGAGGTTGAGTGGAGAGCTACCCTGTCCTTGGGTCTCCTCATCCAAGTTAATCCCTCTCTGTGTTTCCCTCATTTCTCTGTCTTCCTTTGGTTTTCTCCCACACTTTTTGATTCCAGAGAATGGGAGGGTCTCGTACTTTGGGACCTTTATTTATGTTGTTGGGATCCAAGGATAAAGGTTACACCCAGGATTGTTGTAGTGGGATGTTCCTCCAGTCCTGGCCACCTCACCTCAGCCTCTGGGTCATCTGTTTTCGACACCGTATGCAGAAGGGATTGCCCCATCACCCTGTTAAGAGCTTTGTGGCCTAGGGTTGCGGCTGCTGAGAGTATCTGCACAGCCACACATGTCACTGTTCATTCACTGTGCATGTATATGTGCACATGTATGTTTTCCTGTGTGTGTACCTCTCTCTGTGTCTGTGTGCATATGTGTGTTGTACATTTATAAAAAGTGTTGATCACTTCCAGTAGGCTCACAGTGGCCCTTTTCTGTGCTTTTCAGGTGGACACTCTTTCCCTGGAAGATCTACACGCGTTTATTGCTCAGGCCTTGTGCCTCCAAGGAAAGTCAACCTCACAGCTTATGAACTTACAGGTATAGTCATAGTCATTCATCACAGCCACAGAGGCAGCCATGCTGTGGTCACACGGTCAGCATTCTTTCTAGCCTTTTCCTGTTGTAGTTCATAGGAAGCACAAGGCAGGCATGTGTGGTGAGGGTGTCTCTACAAGGAAAAGGATTGTCATCCTCCATCGATGACTCCTAGATGGGTGTGGTTTCCGAAGCCAACAACTGCTGTACCCTTGCTCAGGAACGCAGCTTGTTCCAGGTCCTGGCCTGGTCATCTCGGTTTGAAGAAAAGCTTTTGTAAGCCTCTTTGGCGTCAGAGAAACAGTGCCTTTTCTGGTCCAAGCTTAACTGTCATGTCCCTTTGTACACGGCAGGGTGGAGCCAGGCTGCCCTTCCTGTATCCTCCTCACTCAGCACCTAGTGCTTGGCATGTACTTTGTAGTTCTGTTGTCTTGTTTTCTATGAAGAAGGTGGAGCCCCGGAGGCCATGTATAGCAGAGTGACTTTACACCCACCAGTTAAAGCTGCTTATATTGAGCATACAGAATTGTTTTAAAACTATATGTATGTATACATTTATTAAAAATCCAGAGTTAGACTATATGTATAAAGATCTGTGTACATATTTTTATACTAACCTTCTCTCTATGGCCATAGGTTCCCCATCTAACCATAGATTGAAAATAATTATTTTTAAATGGCATCTGTACTGGAAATGTACAGACTTTTTTCCTGTCATTATTCCCCAAACAATATGGTATAGGTGGAGTTTTTCATCAGGACCACCAGCCAGCACCCAAATATCCACACAGAGACTTATTATTAATTATAAATGCTTGGCTGGTAGCTTAGACTTGTTCCTAATTAGCCCTTACAACTTAAACTAACCCGCATTTCTTATCTACCCTCTGCCACGTGGCAGTACCTTCTTTCAGCATGGCATGTTCGTCTTCCTTCTCTCTGTGTCTCCTTGCCACCCAGAGACTCCTCCCCTTCTTCCTGCCTAACCTTATCCTGTCTAGCTATAGGCCAATCAGCTTCTTTATTAACCCAATCGCAATGACATATATTCACACAGTATATAAGAATATTCCACAATACCGCATAACAACTATTTAGATACTATTTCTATTACACTGGGTATAATTAATTTAGAGGTGACTTCAAGTATATGGGAGCTTGTCTGCAGGCCATGTGCAAATCCTGGATCATTTTGTTTGGACATATTTGGGTAAGTTGTTCGCTAAGACTGAGTGTCGCTTCAGGAGGGATGTACATGGCATGATGAGGGAGAAAGGGGACACCCACCTAAAATCAACTGTGGTAATCAGTGGGATGACAGATGTTATGGCTAGATTGCCCTCACATTCCAAGGTCATTTTGAAATTATTTTCTTGCTAGGATCTTTGTAATCAAAATAGTAGTCTCTTGGTTTCAAGACTCTAATAATCTTTAAATTTTTTGTGAACTTCTGTACTTTGATAACTTAAGTTGTAAAGATTCCCGGAGTTGGAAGCTCACTTCATTATGCACTGCACATTACAAGCTGTTGTTAGCACTTGGACTCATCCTCTGTGCCTGTCTCTTGTTTTCCCTTCATACTTTCTTTCTTTAACTTCATCTTTTCTCCTGGTTCTGCCTTCTGGCTGGAAAACTCTGTGCCTCTCAACTTAGGCGGAGATTCTCCTTCAGCAGAGACTCATCCGTCAGTTGTTGCTTTTGCTGAGCTGCCTCGTGGCAAGTTCCATATTTCTGGACTTTTGACTCTATCTCCTTCATTCCCTTTCCTGAGAATTCTCCAACACTGTACAAAATTGCTGAGACAAAGATGAAAACATGGTTACGTGTTATGTCCAGTGTACTCACGGAAATGTAGATGGATTCAGGCCATTCAAAACTTTCTTCTGTGTATGTGTATATGGATAGACATGCAGATGCAGGTGGTTCTAGGCCATTCACAACCCTTCGTGTGTTGTCTGTGTGTGTGTGTGTGTGTGTGTGTGTGTGTGTGTGTGTGTGTGTGTGTGTGTGTGTACAGACAGATTGTAAAAGGATTCCAGCCATTCCTAGTACCTTCTTTATGCTGCCTCTCACTTGGGAAAGAGTAAGATTCTGTGACCCATTCCAGCAGTAGGAGGTGAGGGTATTTGGAGGAGATTTCACGGTCTTGATGATTATATAGAACCAGAACCGGGTTGTCATTTTCTCCTTAAATGTAGACATAATGTTGGAGCTGTAGGGACCTAACTCCACAAGAAGAAAATGTTAACAGTTTTGAGTCAAGACAGGAAGAACTGTGGGTCTAGGATGACACTAACCCCAAGGTCACTGAATCCTGCTTTTCTGTCAGCTAAGTGACAACTTACAGATCCTACCACTGTTGCCTGTGGCACCCACATAGCTAACGTCCTCTCAGGCACTTGCACGAGTCCATCTGTGAGTCCAGGTTCTCCTGCCCATGTCTCACTTCACAGCAAGTCCATCAGTGTCCACGGGGAACGTGAAAGTCATGCTGGAGTTCCTTGAGTCCTTGCCTCCCAGCTGAACTTTGGATAAGTTTAAGGAGCATCTCAAGTGATGTATTCAGAGAGGGTAAGAGGTTTGGAGCCTCTGAGGGTAGATGTGATGGACAAGAGAATGAGCAGTTGGATGGGTTTGGATGCTCCTTCCTCCCATCTGTTTTTACCTTTATCCTCCTTCTCTTTAACTTCATCTTTTCTGCTGGCTCCACCTTCTAGTTGGAAAACTTGTCTCTTAACTTTGGCAAAAATTCCATCTTTGCTAACCTCGTGCTGGGGTAGCTTTCTCTAGGCAAGTCCACACCAGAGAAAGGGAGTTACACATAGGTGAAACCAGAGCCATGTCTCTCGGAGAGCCCAGGAATACCTGAGCAGGAGCCTGTATTTTTGAAGGCATGAGCCTATAGCCAGAGTGTAGACCAGCTCTGGGTCTTGGCCTCTGAGCACAGCCTTGGAACACCCACCTTAGAGGTACCTAAAAGCCTAGAGAAGGAAGGACAGGAATGCATTGCACAGTGATAGATAGCCCTAACTTCTAAAAGGAGTCACTGTAAGGACGAGGAGCCACCACAGGATGAAATGACGGAAAAAAAGACAGAACAGGTGGAAATTTTAAAATGTTTTCATTTTTAGAGCTGTGGATCTCCAGGAGACCTATCAACTGCCCCTAGGAAGCCTCTGTGCTTCTCTTTTATGTGAATTTATCATTTATGATCTTTATATTTTGCTATACTTACTTATTTGTGAGTCCTTTCCAGAATCTATCAGAAAAAAAAAATAAGAGAGCTTGTTTTCCTGTTGATTATGGATTCTAAGCCTCAGAGAGAAGAAATGCGAACAGATGGTGGTCAGTGGCTGAGGACACTAAGAATGTGAAGGATGCTTATGAGCAGTTGATGACACAGAGGATGCCAGTGGTATGTGTCACTGAAAACGGTGTATCGCCTGCTTATGTACAAAGACCTGGGTTCTGTCTCCAGCACCAAACCCAGAAAACACAAAGCAGAGAATCCCACAGCCTAGGGAGGATGAAGAAAAGGCTGACAGACATTTGTTGAGCAGAAGGCATATCCTTCTACCCAGCTGATAGAGTCGTACCAGATAGAAAAGTTGCTGGTGGAAGGACACAGAACAGAAAGAGCCCAAAGAATGGTTGATTTATTTGCTAGTGAGAACTAAAAGTGCCCACAGCCAGGCTTGAGTGTGGGGAGGGCTGAGAGAGGCTCAGAAGTTCTCTGTGCTTTGATGTTATTGGTTCCTGTTTCATTGGTTTCAGCCCTGCTGTTCTGCTGCTGATTATTTCTCACATCTGCTCTTTGGGGTTTTATTCTTTCTGTTGTTACAGAGCTTGCAGGTGTGGTAAGTAACTGATATGAGATGGCTCTCGTTTTTCTGATGTAGACACTTAGTCCTATGAACTTGCCTCTTGGAACTTCATTGAGCCCATGGGTTTGGGTATGTTGTGTTTTTATTTTCATTCAATTCTAAAAAGGTTTTAATTTTTTTCTTCTTGACTCTTGTCTTGACTCATTTTTCATCTAGTAATAAGTTGTTTAGTTTGCATAAGTTTGTATACATTCTGCTGTTTCTGTTGTTCAACTTTTTTATCATTTGTGGTCAGATAAGATACAAGGTGCTATTTCAGTTTTCCTGTACCTATTGAGACTTGCTTTGTGTCCCAGTGTGTAGTCAGTTGTGGAGAAAGTTCCATGAGCTGCTGAAGAGAAAGTATATTTAATGTTCAGGTGAAATGTTCTGTCCATTTGATTCATGACTTTGTTTGTTTGTTTGTTTTTTGAGACAGGGTTTCTCTGTGTAGTTTTGGTGCCTGTCTTGGAACTCACTCTGTAGCCCAGGCTGACCTTGAACTCACAGAGATCCGCCTGCCTCTGCCTCCTGAGTGCTGGGATTAAAGACATGTGCTACCACCACCCGGCTGATTCATGACATTGTTTAACTCCAGCATGTCTTTATTTAGTTTTTGTCTCAATGATCTGCTGTTGTTGGTGGGGTATTGAAGTCACCCACTGTCATTGTGTGAGGGTCAATATGTTATATTAGCCATAATAGTATTTGTTTTTACGAACTTTGGTACTCTTGTGTTTGGTGCATAAATGTATAGAATTATAATATCCTCTTGGTGGAGTTTTCCTTTAATACATACATGATGTCCTTCCTTATCTCTTCTGATTAGTTTTGGTTTGAAGTCTTATTTTGTCAGATATTAAAAATGGCTATATCAGCTTGCTTTTTAGGTCCATTCACTTAGAATATCTTTTTCAAACTTTTACCCGAAGGTGATGTCTTTCCTTGATGGTGAATTGTTCATAGGTATAGCAGAAGGATGGATCCCATTTCCTAACCCAGTCTGTTAGTCTGTGTCTTTTTATTGGAGAATTGAGACAGTTAATATTGAGAGTTACCAGTGAGCAATGTTTATTGATTTCTGTTATTTTGTTGTGGTGTAGGTGGTTTTGCCCCTCTTTTGATTTACTGTTCTGGGAT